GAACTGGGAACTGCAACCAAAATGAACTGTTTGGTCAAAGTGGCTCTGAGACTTGACTAGGGGTGGCTAGGTCTGAGAGCTGCCAACAGCTAGGTCTGAGACTCAGCGCCCAGGCGCTCAGGTGCTTTTCACCAGGTTGACGTCTCAAACGAACAAACAAACACCTCTTCAAACGCACCTTCGGCCCGAGCCACCGCGAGCCAAGAGGGAGGACGGAAAGAAGACACGGCGAGCAGCGGTCCAAGGGCGGGTCCAAGGGGAAGTGGTTGTGGTGGAAAAAAGACCACCGAACTGAACCGAATCGTGATGGCACCAATCCCATGAGTTTTTGTTTCGGAGCTCAGAGGCGGAGGGGGAAGGCTCTGGTATTTCCGCTCCAGTGTCCAATGAAACATGGCATGATGGAAGGATCAATCGGAATGAGGCGACCTCCCAACAAGGGGCCTATTGTCAAACACCCCCCCCTTCCATTTGTTGCACACCATGCTCATAGTCTCTCCATATGTGAGGTTCGCAGAAGAAAATACCAATGGAGACTCATCAATATGAATTGACTGGCCAAAGAGCACTTGTCTCCGTGACACCATGCTCATATGCTCTCGCATACTTCATCGGTCATCGGTCTACTGTAAGTCAAACCACTATTGTGGTAAACGTGCGGAACCTCGTTGTGAAGTGCTCAAGCAAAGTCGCTCACGGTGCGGTCGTTATGCAGTAACACAAAAAGAAGATGGATCTCTAGAGGCTTAGACAAATCATATATATGATATCAAAAGCAAAATGACACGTCACAATATGTGTATTGAGGTGACTTCATTGTATAATTGATTCAATGCTGCCCTGGGCTGCCAGGACCTAACATCGGTCCTAACCCTCGCAACCCAATCACAAGCCTACGAGATCAGGCTCAGCAAGGAGTCAAACGAAGAGATTGATGGTTCTCCCAATATTCACAGGGTAAACAACCCCTTCAAATTCCCTCTGCGCAGTTATATACCAATCCTCTTCAAATCAAAGGTTCCATGTTCCTCCACGTATTCCCCGATTCTTTACACACGAAAACCAGGGCACCTCATCGTGCGTCCAACATCAACATCCCTCCTTTCGTCCGTGCCCCACCCTGTGCAGCCACCACCGCGGGGGGCATCCCCGGCCCCTTGAACTCTCCTGCGGCTGGATGTTGAAATGCTTCAACTCCTCTCTGCGCTTGTCGCGCGACGAAGCCGCCGACGCCGAAGCACCCGAGGCTTCGGGACCCGAGATGGGGGATCGGTAAGGGGACCGCGCCCGCCGAAGCGGCGCCCGGCGAAGCGGCAGCATCTAGTGCTGCGGCAGTCTTTTCAGCACCGGCCTGAAGACTTCTCACCACTTCCAAGTGGCCAAGAAGAGCTGCCTGTTGTGCCCCTTTTCGGCCACGGCATTCTTGCCCGCATCTGCCTCGTGGCCCTTTTCAGCAGCAAAGTGCCTTTTTTGGCACCCGCTTCCAGAAGACATTGCACCTCTTCTTCGGATGGTCCAACGGATGGCCATGCATATTCAATACGCCGAACGGCTTTGCCAACGTGGTCAGCTGAATCTCTCTGACGTCCAGCCTCGCCCTGCGGTCCGAGCTTCTCTGCGCGCCACCGATGGCGTCGTTTGGATCTGGTTCCGGGCGTCGTCTGCCGCCATGATCCGTGAACTATGGCCGGCGCAAAGCATTGGGGAAGGACCAAATGACCCCTGAATCTTCTCAGCGCAGGGCCTCACCACGCAGGCGATTCCCAGCTTCCTGAGGTACCAAGAAATCACTGGAAAGCAGGATACACTTTGCAGCTCAAACAAACAACAACTCCCGCCCATCCTACCCGTCCCGCCCGTCTCCTGCGCCCAGTGCGAGCCGTTCATCGCCCCGAAGACGAAGTGCTCCGCAAAGCGCTGCTGAGCACCTGGTGGAGACGCCGAGATGCGGGGCCGACCTCAAACACCACGCGCGCAGGTCTGGAAGCAAAGGAGGCTGAGAAGTCATTGGCACCACCAGTGCACTATTCCCATCTATATACCCCAAAACCCAACCTGCTGGTCTTGTTTCACCAACCTGCTGGTCTTGCAGAACTCTTTCCCGTGCTCCACAATCCTAACAAGATCTGTGCTTTCACCACTTCCCCGGCCAATTCCGTCCGCGCGCGCCTCGCACTTCCGCTTCGAGCGCCTCGGTGGCCTCGTTTTGGACGCCAAAGAAGACTGGTCCCCAACGGTGGCAACCCCCACCGAAGGACGCAGACATCGTGCAGCCATCGGAGAAAGAAGGGGAGCATCATGGAGCGTTCGAAACTGACCGAGGCTCGAAATCCCTTTCAAACATCAACAACTTCTGAAATGGCCGACACCGACCATCCGCCGATGCCCGCCTCTGCCACTGCCACAAGCACAGCCGACCTGGGCTATGGGGAAAGGTAAAATGGACAGACATCGGGACCTGAGGTTCCTCTAGGCTTCACAGCCGCTGCTTCCATGGGGGCTCTACTGAACAACTTCATTTATTTTTGCAGAGGCTTTAGATATCTTTAGATGGCTTTTAGGCGCCTCTTGAAAGAGCCAAGTGTCGCCTACTTGAAAGGGGTGCGGTTTTGTTTGGGGAAGTTCATGTTTTCATCACCCCTAGGCCTTCATCTGTGTTCCCCATCATCCCCATCAGTCAGCTCGCAGAGTCCGGCCGACCTTCCGATGCTCTTTTTTTTGTGTGCCAGATAGACCACATCCACCCCTTTTGTGCCTGCAATCAACCCAGCCCGAAAAAACACCATACCCCCCAAAGAAAGACAGCTGAGAACAAGCACGGCAACATACAGCAGGGTCTTCCTCCCATGCCACCTCCAAAACCTTCCAGCGTTCTTCTCCCCCCCGCCCACCGCACATTTCGACCCGCACATTTCGACTGGACCCGACCGCGCCTGTCGCTGTGGGTGAACTCATAAAAGTTCTGCTCTTGCAGGGCCCAAACCCCCGGAAACCTCCGCCGTCCGACGTCCGAGGTCTCCCGACGTGGGGTCGGGCGTGGATCCGGAAGATCTGGAGCATGCAGAGGGCAGTTTTGAGGGGGGGCAGGCGGGTGGTGCTTGGGATGCTTGGGGGCGCACAAAGGAACCGGCCCGGTTCAAAGTCTGGTTCTCCTGAAAGTTCCAAAGACAGGATCCAATTGGTGGGCCACAGTCCAATCAATTTTTATTGTGCCGGTTGTGAGTACACGAATAAAGTGCTACTGATCACTGATCACACGCACATTCCATATACCTACCACTACCACATCCTATCAAAACACAGTCGCTGCTTCTCAAACAGCACAGCTGCTGACCTCCACACGGACCCAACTTCTTTCCCATGTGCTTCCCATGTGTTCGGTCGGCCTATGCGCAGCGATCCATTCGTCCACGGCCGACCTGAGCGGGTCGACCGGCCGAACCCGGGGCCGAACCCCGGGGGGCCGAACCGGGCGCCTCGGCCGAAGGGGATCCAGATGGGTCGGTGTAGGCCGAAGGGCGAGAGCCGAAGGCACGGATGCCCCTTCTTTCGATACGAAGAGGTGAACCAACTGCCACCCAACTCCAGCACCTGGCTGAGACTATTTCCACTTCTCTATATATATAGTTTTTGTTTAGAAATGTACTTCAGATAGAGGATCGGATTTTTCAAGTCTATCTTTTCGTGGCAGGTGCAGGGGTCAGATTTCTAGACTAGTTTAACTGTCAATCCATGCTACTTACAGGCGTTCAGCTGTTGATATCTGACCGCAAGATGTGGCAGACATGAACGCATGTAATGTAAGCTTCTACTGGAAAGGTTTTCTCATGTATTCCAACTCTCAAAAAAGGCGAAACTCTTCGCACGCAAGCATATTCCACGCTCCAGTGCGACTGTTGCATTCTAAGGTGAGCAAGAACAGTACTAGTAGGACAAAGAGGTCTACAATTCAACATGGGTGCGGTGCGGTCCCGAGTGAAAAAAATATAGACATTAATTAGTGGGTCGTCGATCCCTACCCTGTGCAGGCCTGGGGGGAGGCGTCCCTGATCCCTCCCTCTTCTGGGCGCAAGCTGCGTGTTCTCCATGGAGCCTTGGAAGAAGGCCACCTCGGTGTGTGGCAGACAGCAGGATGTCGACGGACGCGTCCGTCGGCCCCGTGGAGCGGCCCAGGGGTGGTCCGAGTCAAAGACTTCTCGAAAGAATTGGGACAGACCGGATGCAGGGGCCTGGGTACCTCCTCCAGTTGGGGAGCTTCCTCTGACTTCAGCGAGGCATCAACGAAATTCAACAAAATCGAAACAATAAGTTTTTCGGCTGCCACAGCGGGTACTCCTCCGAGGTGGCGACTCCAGAAGACGTTCTTGCCAGGAGAACATGCCTTCTTGATGGCCCTTTCTCGAGCGAAATGAGAACATGAGAAGTCGCTATCGCGAGGTCTCTGCGATTTTGGAGGTCTTCCAACTCTACTCTTGTCCATCGGAGGCCCCACATGTCAGACCCCAGCAAAACCCCTTTAAACCACTCCTCCCGACTCCCCCCCCCATCCCCACGGCCTCAAAAACGAGACCTAGCGCCGCTACCGCCGCTCCTCCGGGACGCCCACACCGCGGGGACGGCACCGCTCTGGCCCGGCCACTGTTGTCGCGCCGGAGAGAAGACCTGGGGGAAGCACGGAGCCCCGCAGCGCGCTCCGTACGGCGGCGCAGCGCGCAGCGCAGCGCTGCGGCACGGAGACCCCCGGTCACAGGTTGATAGAGAACATGCATTGCTCATCGACTGACTGACTTCAGATGCACTTACATTGCATTGCACCCCATAGGACTGTATACATAGAATGGGAGACATTCACACACAAACATGGAACCTCAATACATGATCTTTCCAATGATCACTTAGTTGTTCATCTCACAGGACTTCCTTGTAAAGGATTTTGTTGTTCTGTTCTCTATTCTGCAGGATTGTTGGGTGAGACTCATCAGGTAATGGTTTGAACCGTTCCACGCGCAGCTTGCAGTTCCTTTTCTTCCGCCCACAGTGTGGCTGAGCGCAGTAGCTCAGGAACCACTCCTCGTGTAGACGAACCTAGGCGCAGATCAGTGATGGCGGTCAGAAATGACATGAAAGCATATGAAAGAACTAGGACACTAGGAACCCACAAAAGGAAGGATCAATCCCATGACGTGCGCGACCCCTTCCCCCTTCCATGTCTTCCAAAAAGGACCTCCCAACCGTTTGCTCCCGTCCCTCGGGTGACCATCCATGACCTCAGAGCGATGCCGAGCAGCAAGCGTGAGCCGGTCGCACTCCGAGTCGTCCAGCTCCTCAGTGACAGTCTGTCCCTGGGGAGATTCGGTGAAGACCAAACGTGGAGGTTTTTCGGGGTCTAGTCAGTCATAGCTCGTGCTGTCCACTCATAACATCGAAGCACACTGACTTGCACACATCTCCACTCACTTTCATCCCCCACTTCGTCCACCACATCCGAGAGCTCACTGCCCGCACGTGCCGCCTGCCACCCCGGTGTCCACCGGTCGTGGCTCGTCCGCCAAGCGGCGTTTGGAGGTTGAACTCCTCTTCAACGAAGCCGTCCAAACCCTCGAGCCGCGACAGGGCCGCCACCACCCGCGCGCTTCGTGCCTGGACCATCCATCATCCCCCCCGTGGGCCGTTCCCCAAACGAAGCGAAGAAAGGTTCTAAGAAAAGAAAGAAACTCCTCTGAGCGGGGTTCCCGTCAAAAGCGAAACTCTTCAGGTCTCGACTCGCAAGATTGTTTGGTGATGTTTGATGTGTTCTTTGGGTGACCAGGTATGACCAGGTACGCTTCCCGCAACCATCACTTTGTTTCGTGGACGGAAGAAAAACCATTGCCTCCGTCCAGACCGCTGGTGACCACCAGGTCACCCACCCCATACATCGGTCTTCCCCACATGGGTCTTGGATGGACGAGTTCACACGAAGACAACCGCCTCAGAGTGGAGCTTTTGGCTCACCCGGCGGATCATCGGGGCGCCCCAGGTCAGCGAGGCCTCGATTCGGTGAAGATCCCAGAGAAAACGGGCCGGTCAATGGGTCTATCGGTCTATCACTTGTTCTGCAAAAGCGGCAAAAAGGTGCCAAAAACGAAGGAACTTAGCTTGTGTTACACTTGTGTTTATGTTTTTTTCAGTCCACCCTGTCACACGCTGATGTTCGAACCCAACGGATTGACCAAGCGTCGCTCAGAGTCTATTTTGTATATATCCAAAAGCAACACTGCCTCATCTTCTGCGATCTTCCGGTTTCTTCCTCCTTCCTGTCGAAGAAATCGCCCCCAAGGAAGCCGAGCTGCCAGGTAGATATGAGTGAATTCGCTCACGTCCACCTCAAACCTCAACGACCAGGTCTCGTCGCTCGCACGACCCAGAATTCTTGTTCGAACCGGCGATCCAGGTGCAGGTGCTGGTGATCATCCGACTTTGTTCGACATGGATCAATGTACTCTCCCTGAAATCATCATGGTTGTGTGGAAAACAACCCACCTGCTTGGTCTTCGGACTTCACGGTCATCCGAAATCGGGGCCCATGGTGGGCGATGCCACAGCGACACCCGCCCAGCAGCCACGCGGCATGTCCGCCTCCAGTAACTGGACGTCGCGCCGGCGTTGGTGCCGAAGCTGCGCCAAGGCCACTGACGCCTGGACTACTGGGTAGCGAGTTGGCGCGTGAAAAAGTTCCTAGAATCCTTTGCTCCTAGTAGTAAGGCCAGGAGCCCCGAACCAAGATTCTGACAACTGTCGTGTAAGAGGCTTGAGTTTTCACACACAAGTGGCAGCTCACGGGATGTTGTTCCATCAGATCATGACTGACTGTCACTCAGCGTGAAACACTAGGTACATAATATATATATATATTATATCGTATTGTAATATGATGATATATATATATATGTGTGTGTGTGACGTGATCCTGGATCCCTTTTTCCCCCCTTCTTCTTCCCCTCTTCGCGCATCCTCTTCCTTCCGGATTCCTGCGTGCTGGAGCTCAGCAAGGCGCTCTGCAGAGACTTCTGTCGCAGCTCTTGGAGCTCCCCAAAGCGGATCATCGTCTCCAGCGCCTCCTGCGACACGCGCGCCGCATGCGCCGTGCACCGAGTCGGAGGGTCGTTCAGCAGTCTGTGGGGGCTGCCATCTATATGGGGAGGTCGAAGTGGATGAACAGGGGCGATGTGGTCAGTGTGTGGGGGTGGGGGTGGGGGTGTGAGTGGGCAGGTGGGCATGTTGCTATGTCGCTTGGAAAGAAGATAACAAATTATTTGCTTCTGGCCCTGAAGCCTCCCAATAAGACCCCTAACATACTTCCCTTTCCAAGCTCATTCAAACACGGCTCCACTGTCTGCCACTGAGCTGTTTCACCCGCTGCGAAGTGTTTCTGGAGAGATGAACGATTTCCAAAAGTCCATGAGAACTTCCACACTCAAAGGCTGCAAAGGCCGATTCGTGCCGATTGATATCTAGACACACACTCTGACACTTGTATTCAGTGACTCAGTTACCACGTTGGGAA